ATTTATACTAGTAATAAATGTCACAGAGAAGACCTCAGACAATCTGAGAAAGTCCCACTGAAATAAAGGATCAGCCTCTGGTAGTAAATGCTCTCAACGGGAAAGCCTGTGTGAGATAAACTGTTCCATCAGGATAAATGGAAGCATAGCTAGTGGCTTAGTCATATGGGCCCTTCTGTTATCAACACAACCACTTACTCCAAATAAGAAAAAGGCCATGCAAAGCAGATGCAACCACCAGGCATAGCTCTAACAATAGCTCTGATTTTAAAGACCTAGCACTGTGATTCATCCCTTTTCTTCCTATAAATCAGTATACATTTTTGGTATCTACAATTTACAATTTTATAAATTTACAATTTACAATTTTTATCTTCAGTGTCAACTCAAAATCCTCTACCGAGTTTGATTCCACCATACTAGATTTTCAGAGAGAAAGCAAATTTCCATTACTTACAAGCAATACCTACCCAGCTCAACTTACATGAAAATTTTTAAACCACATGAGGCATTCCCACATAAGCCATTCTTACCAGCAAGATTAGAGTCTACCTGCTGAATTTCTGAAATAGTCCTCAAATGGTATTCCCCTATGGCTAGAAGCAATTTCAGTAGGTTGCCTCTTTCTCTGGGAAATTCTGCCCTTAGATGGATGGGATTTTGTCACCAAAAATTCAATCAGAATGGAGACTCTAGGATTTGTTTTGATGATCCATCCTGTTGTCTGTTAGTTAGAAGAGCTCATATAACCTAAAAGTTCCTCCTAAGTTCACTTCAGCCTATTTCCTCTGGAGAAATACTAGAGAGAGAAAGGACAGACTGATAGACTAAATGGAGATTTAGAAACATCCATTAAAAATCAAATCTGAGAGGTCTCTGAACTCTCACCAACTTTTCCTCATTGCTTCTCTATTTTTAAAACTGCTTTGTTCTCTCAGTGTTTTAAACTATAAAGTATTAAATTTTTAAAGCATTCCCTATGGTCTAGAAGTTAGAAAGAAAACTAAACTCAAAGCCCTAGGAAGAACTGAATTTCCCCAAAATCCTTCTGAGGAAGTCATAATTTGGCTAAAAGGTTTGGCAACACGTCATTTCATTGTGTTCTCAGTGATTTCATTGTGACTTAGTCTCTCAATTAGAGTGAAAAAGCTCCTTATGAGAAGACCTGTGCAACCTCTGTTTTGATTGTCCCACTCCCAAGTCTAAAGAAGAAAAAGAAACTACCATATCCTTATTAGTAAGAGCTTAATTTTTTTTTTTACATAATGGCCGAGTGCTCCCATAATGAGCAAATAGTTCTGTGTA